ATATGTCCATTGGGTCCCTTTGCTAGCTCACATAATTTCCTGTAACGATACGGCGTATTTCCTACACATTGGTAACTTGTGTTGTTTCCGTAAAAGAGGTTCAAAGTTAATTCATGGGTGATTTATCGGGCGAATTAATTGATAAATTGGTTGAATTATTATTTTAAGAGTTGTTTAATATGGGAAGACTATTATATGACTGTTTTGATCAGGTAATTTCTCTATTGGGTTGCTTGAATCAAAACTGAGGCTCTATGCAAGTTTTCCGTGTTGAAAAACTAGGAAAATAACTTTTTTCAGTGCAGACAGGTCAACCGGTTAGTGAAGACAGGTTGACCGGTGAGTTATAACGTCTTTGTCACCGGTCGACCGGTTGTAACGTAAAATACATGCTGATGTGGCAAAATCGACTCTAGATGCGATTAGAACTTTGGAAAACCTAATTATTACGGAAGTATGACTTCCTAAACACTATAAATAGCCTATTAAGTCACTTTATTCATTAGATCACTTGAGAGACTTTTTGGAGGCTATTGATAAAATATTCCTGAGAGGAAAAATTGTTTAATTCTCAAAAATAATTTTTTCTTTGGCTCTCTTGTGATTGGAAGGAGATCAAGAATACCAAGAGGAGATTGAACGACGTGTGACCACCCGCACTCCGATCGTGGAAACGAGAATAGCAAAGAAGACCAGTTGGTTGAGGCTCTTCCGGTTGCTGTTTGGAACGCTTTGATCTGTCAGATGTGCAGTTTCCTAAATCTCAAAAGGTATGATTTAGATCTTTAGTATTTATGTTGTATAGCATCATGAACATGTTCTTGGTTGGATTTGACATTGATTAAATTTTTTAAATTCCGCTGCGCACTCGATGTAATTATTTTCCAACACGTCTGTCGGCGGCGAGAGGACCTTCTAGAAGCTGAGGTTGTCCAAAGCCCTCACCATTCCTGAGGGGACCACCGTCTCCAATGCGTGCCAAAGAATGGCCGCTCGCCGCATTAACGTCGTGCTATTGACCGATTCCAATGCATTGCTTTCAGGAATTGTTACGGACAAGGCAGGTATTTACTATTCTATAGTAAATAAAGTAGTCATTTTTAATGGTGTGTGATTAGTGCGTGAAAATGCACCCTAAATACTGTTTTTGATTTCTATAATATTAAAATATTTAAGCTTTAATTAAACAATTCTATTATTTTTATTTAGAATATTTTTCATTGGAATTTATCTAGTTGTTACTTAATTATTTGCATATAAAAAGCAGTGTAAAAAGCTACACAAAAAGAAGCCATGAAAGTCATGTTTTCAGCCACCCTAAGTCAGCCAAGCCGAGCCATATAGAGACAGAGCTGCGTCAGCCGAGTCAAAGCCACAAGTTGATTTCTGCATGGGCCCCACCTTTCCCGCGTTCCCCACTCCACTTCGCGCGCGTCACCTACACACAAGACTCCCAGGAAGCGCATCTCATGCACGCGTAATCTCCAACGCATTCCAAACTAAGCTCGCGTGGGTCCCACGCCTGTTTAGTCCAGCTGACCGCCCATTCTTTGCGCGCCAGCTGTCCAGCGTGGGTCCCGCATCTGCTCAAGCTAGCTTGCGTCTCTCCTCTACGCGCGCCAGCTGTCCCAGCGACAGCTTTCTGCCAGTCATTCAACTAATCTACGTGCACCACTTGTCTCGGCGGGACCCCAATGTCGGCCAGCATTCCCACTCTCTAACCAGCGCCAGCACACGCCAACCACTCCGAGTGCGACACATGGCGAGTTGACTCCTTATTTCTAATCGCATTGCGACACGTGTCTTCTATGGTGCTAAATCTGAATTTATCTTTCAAAATCAGAGCAAATGTGCAAATTTCTTCCCCAAATTATTTATATGATTTCTCCTAATTTATGTGTAATTTTATTTTGTTTTCTTTTCTTTTGTAATTTTCTATTTTTATTATTTATTTCCTTATTTGACATGTAACCTCTTAACACTATAAATAAGGGGGTTAGCCTACGGTTTTTGTAAGTTTTTAATATTCAGTTTTCTGTCGTCTTGCTGTCAGTTTCATATTTTCTCTCTAGAACTTGTGAGAATGCTTTACAAGCTAGGCTAGAGTTCTCTTAGTGAGGTTAGTGATGAACTTTTGTTAGTGACCCAATTCGGGCTTTTAATTCCTTGTGTTGTAAACTTCAACATCCGAATGAATTAAATCTCATCTATCTTTCTTTTACTTTTTGAAATATTGTGTGTCAATTTTTATATAAGTTCAGTCACGCTTTTCTTTTGTAATTCTGTCTCGCATTGTTTTGTTATTTAAATTATTTTGTAAATTGTCTTTTACTGCAATATTGTCAAATTGATATATTGTCGATTTTAGATAACTTATAATGATAATATTTCCGGAGTCAACATAGAGATTTAATTTATTTGATCATTTTATTTTGTGAATAAAAACTTGAATTGGAGAACAGAGCATTAGGGATTCTCGACACCTTACCCTTTTTATTACTGAATTTCTTGCACACAAATCTTCTCTCCTCTATATTTGCAACAAAGTCTACAAAAACTATTCTTTTTCATTAATTCTCTTGTTATTTATTTTTCTCTAACGTTTGTATTATGTTAATCTTTCTTGTTATTTTGTTATCTCTCTGTGGATACGACCGTCTTTTTATACTATAATTGACCGCTTGTGAACATCACTTTTGAGCGTTAATGATGGTGCTATACGGAAAAAGAGAAGAGAGAGAAACTTGGAATTTGTAGAAAAGCTTTGCTTTACTTGTCTGCCATTTTTGTGAGCTCATTCTACTTCTCCTGCATGATAGTAAAAACTCTCCAATGGAAGTGACGATGGATTGGGTTTTCCACTTCGTGGGTTATTAAACAAATTTAAAAAAAGGAAAAAGCAAAAGATTAGAAATGTCTAAAAATAATTCCTCTTCTTTTGGTAAATCTGGGTTTCAAGGACAAAATCGTCATTTTATAATAGAATAAAAATTAAATGTCTCAGTGATTAAAATTTAATTGAGGGGGCAGAAAAAGAAAACTCGTCCTAACAACAAATTGTTTATGGGAAAAAATTGTTATTTTTAAACTTTAGGGGACATTTTGTTAGAAAATCAATAGTTCAAGGGGAGAAGTGTAATTTGCCAAAAGTTTTTTGTCAACATAGTGTAATTAACTTAAGAAAACAAAGAAGAGAATCCAATACGGGGCCGTAAACAAATGGGCTGGATCGCAAGGCCCAGCAAGCGTCACAATCCATGTCGCCACCTGGAATCGCCCATCACTGCTGTCACATCATTCCTTAGCGACAAAGTATTCAGGTGAAGGGCAAACCGTCATTGCATAAAGAGCAGCGTCATCAACCCGCGACGTCATTATTATTATTATTTTTTTGCACAATTGCCCCGACTTGTTATACTTAGTAAATTGTTCCTTATATTTTTTATTTTAATAAAAAAAAGTTAAAAATATCAAATAAATTACATATCAAATTGGTATAAATAAAAAATAATGTTAAAAATATCAAATCAATTACATATCAAATTAGTACGTATTATATTAATTAATAATAAAAAATTACATAAGATCATAAATTACATATCAAATCAATTAAGATATGATAGTTATAATTTAAGTTGATATCTTTAACGTTACTTTTTTGACGATTAACATTTGAACTTGTAAAACTGTTACAATTTACCCCTTTTAATTAAGGCATCATTAAGTTTATCGATTTGAGTTTTTAATTTCAATTTTACTACGGTTAAAAATTCTCATAAAAAATAACATCTAACTTTCACATAAAATCACATCTCAATTCAAATTAAAAATTTAAATCGGTAAATTGAATAACGCCTAAATAATTTACTGAAGTGTTTATTAGATTTAAAGGATTAAAAATTGAGAAATTTAATAGTTTGTTATACACTTGACTTAGAATGTTAAAATTTTTTTATCAAACATATTTTTCCTATACTAATTTAACACAATCATCATTTAAAATAAGACATATTGTAATAATTTTATAAATTGTGGGTAATTGTCAAAACTAAAAATGCAAAGAATAAATTGCTTGTGTAATATATATATATATTAAACGTTAATTTCGTAAAAAGCATGATTTCGTAAACTTTTTTAAAACGCCTACTTCCTTCCTTTCTTTTGCTTCTCGTAAGGCGTAACTCCGAAAAAAAAAAAAAAAAATCTAATCGGCGAAGACAGGGAAAATTGTGGAATGGGGCTGCTCTCTAACAGGTATCATGAACTTTTGTTTTTGTGTATTTTCTAATTTTGATCCTGTTTGGTTGATGCGATTTTATGGAAAAGGAGAGGAAATTTGGATTTTGAAGAAAATTATTCGCTTTTCTTTTTCCCTCAGTTTTCTCGGAAACCAAACATGATTTAGGGTATTTGGTCGTTGTTGTAATCTTCGGGTGAAAATAATATTGATCGTTATTTTAATTCGTGGAAACAGAGTGGCGAAGGAGAGTCTGAAGCCTGGGGATCACATCTACTCTTGGAGGACTGCTTATATTTATGCCCATCACGGTTCTCTATATTTACTTTGTTATTTGCCCATCATGGGGTTTTTTTTTTTTTTTTTTTTTTAAATTATCTGTTGTTTGTGCAACCGAGGTAGTATAGTGTACGCAGTGCAAGTGGAAGTGCAATTTTAGTAAGATACAAGTAGAAATGTGATCGTCAGTTGATGTCAAATAGGAAAAAGGATGAAGCATTATTATATGCGAGATCATACAATGTAGTAGCTTTTAGAGTTTGAGCAGGAGATGAGGGAAGAAAATTGAGGGAGGATAATTGGACTTTATAAGGTATTGGGGTTCTATATTAAAAGGTCAACATGTTAAATGAGATGACCCAATATCCTTATATGCCCGCGACGGTTATGTTCATTATTATATGCAAGATCACACAATCGAGGGACTCGAGTTTTTTTACCCTCAACAGTAGCTACATTATGTTCTTAAATATTTTGCTTCATAAGTAATGACAATAGAGAACAATGCATAACATTAGTTATTTGCATAATTGAAGTTATGCATAACAGGTTGCTTATAGCATGAAGCTAGTGTAATCCCACTGTTTTAAGACAATTTCAGCTGAAAATAAACGATTTGGGTCGTTGAATATTTTTGGTTAAAAGTTGACCACTTTCTTTTCTACAGTTGTGCCTTGAGATTGTTTCTTTACATTGATAGTGATTGAAATTTGGACTGCGTGGCAACAGCCTCAATGTTTCAGGAACTTTTACTTTGGTTATATGTTTTCAGTTTTGTTTGATTTTCATATCGAGATTCTTCCTCATGTTTAAAAATAATCTGAAGTAGGGTCTATGTGGACAGGCATCTATGTTGGAGATAACACAGTGATTCATTTCACCAGACGTGGTCAAGAAGTAGGTACAGGGACTGTGCTGGATCTTCTCTTGGTTAGTTCAGGACCGACCCGATCAGTTGGGCCTTGCCCCAATTGCACTCCAAACGAAGAAGGCAGCGGGGTCGTCTCCTCGTGCTTGAACTGTTTCCTCGCTGGCGGCATCTTGTACCGCTTCGAGTATGCTGTGATCCCCGCTCTTTTCCTTGCAAAAGCTCGCGGAGGAACCTGCACCCTTGCAGTCTCGGATCCAGATGATATTGTGGTTCATCGAGTAAAATACCTGCTGACGAATGGATTTGGCTGCTACAATGTGTTCAAGAACAATTGTGAAGACTTTGCTATTTACTGCAAAACTGGATTGCTTGTTTTGGATGAAAGAGCAATGGGGCAAAGTGGCCAAGCTGCGTCCATTATAGGAGGGCCTCTTGCTGCCATTTTGTCAACGCCATTGCGTTTCGTTACCACCAATGTTTATGGAATGGCGGCAACAGCTGTCGGAGTCTATTGTGCTAGTAGATATGCTGCTGATATTGGGATGAGAAGCGATGCACAGAAGATTTCTGTGGAGGACCTGACTAGGAGACTTGCAACGGGCTTGCTTCAGGTGGTCGAACCCCAAATCCCAGCATCTCCTATCCACGAGTCTGCTCAGATTGTCACCCGATGACCAAATAGTTTGGTAATTTGTTCTTTGGTTCGCTTTGACAACATGTTGAGCGGATCAGGGTTCTGAATATCTCTCTATTACAATTGCTATCAAGTGTTAATTATTGAGAATTTCAATTGTGTGTGCTCTTTTTTCTTTTGAATTGCAAGACGTTTGAGTGCTTGTTTGTTGTATTTTCTACTGTTAAGTGTTTTCCATTTCTTTCTAATATCATATCAATGCTAGTGTTTTATCTTTCTTTCTTCTAAAGTGTTTTCAGACTTTTTAATACAACAACAACAAGCTTTAATCCCAACTTAATTGGAGTCGGCTATATGAATTTCACTTTTCCACGCAGTTTTGTTCGAAATTAAATTTTCCTAAAAGTCTAGATCTAGAATGTCTTTCCTAACTACTTCGGTCCACGTAATTCTTAGTCTAACCCCTCTCTCTCCTAATATTAGGTATAAGAATGTCTTCTCAAGCACGAACTGGTGCTTCTAACGGTCTACGTTGGACATGTCCGTACTATCTCAAGTGGCCTTCGCTCACCTTATCTTCTATTGGTGCTACACCTATTTTACTACGAATAACTTCATTCTTTATGCAATCCATTCTCGTATGGCTACTCATCCATCTTAACATATACATTTCTGCAACACTCATCTTAGATATATGTTGTCCCTTAATGGCCCAACATTCACTACCATATAACATAGTTGGGCAGATTACAGTCCTAAAAAACTTTCTTTTCAACTTAATAGGCATATTACCATAACATAAAACTCCCGTAGCATTCTTCTACTTTACTCACTTTGTCTTAATCTTATGTTGAATATCCTCTTTTATATCTCCTTCGTACTGCACTATAGACACAAGGTATCTAAACTTCTTAGAAGTCTCAATCTCCACACCATCTAAATAAATTACATCATTCTGATTACTTGAGTTATTAAACCTATAATGCATGTTTTCGTCCTACTTAACTTAAATCTCTTTGTCTCGAGAGTCTGTTTTCACAGTTCTAACTTACGGTTAACTCCTTCCGTATGTTCATCAACTAAAATTATATCGTCCGCAAAAAGCATACACTAAGGAACTCTGTTTTAGATTTCTCTTGTCAACTCATCCACCACGATGGTGAAAAGATAAAGACTAAGAGCAGATCTTTGATGAAGGCCGATCCGAATAGGGAACTCTGCCGTGTAGCCTCCAGCAGTTCTCACACTCGTGATCACCCCATCGTACATGTCCTTAATTACCTTGATATACATAACATGCACTCCTCTCTTTTCTAATACCACCATAAAAGTTTCCTCGGCACCCTATCATATGCCTTTTCTAAAATCTATAAAGACCATATGTAGGTTCGTCTTGGCTTCTCTGTACCTTTCCATCAGCATCCTAAGAAAAAAAATAGCTTCTGTGGCTGATCTGCCTGGCATGAAGCCAAATTGGTTACCTGAGATGGTAGTTGTGGCCCTTAATCTCCTTTCAATAACTCTCTCCTAAAGTTTCATAGTGTGGCTTATTAACTTTATGTCCTTATAATTGTTACAATTCAACACATCTCCTTTATTCTTAAAGATGGGGACAAGAATACTTTTCCTCCATGCATCATGCATATGCTTCTTCTTTAGTATCTCATTAAAAAGCTTAGTGAGTCACACAATTTTAACATCTCCTAACGAAATCCAAACTTCTATTGGAATATCATCTGGCCCACATGCCTTACCCCTTTTCATTTTCTGTAGTACAGTTTTAACTTTCGAGACTCTGATTCCTCTTGTATACATCACATTAGGTTTTCCTTGTGACCTAAGATTGTCAAACTCTATCGCATGATCATCATTATAAACTTCTCAAAGTACTCCACCACTTTTCCCTAATGTCTTTATCTTTTATCAGAACCTGATCCGTATCATCCTTAACACCAGGTCTCGACACTTCCTTTCTCTTATCCTAGCTAGTTTATATATATATCATTCTCTCCTTCTCTAGTCCCAAGTTTCCTATATACCTCATCTAAGTAAAGTAGAACGAGTTTTACCAAGTGTTCGCTTAGCTTCTTTCTTCACTTCTTTATACTTATTAAAAGTTTCAACATCCTTACGCTTTGGTAAATCTCTATATAAATCTCTCTTGGTCCTAATAGCCGTTTGAACTTACTCACTCCACTACCAAGTTTCTTTCCTTGGGAGACCTTTACCTCTTGATTCCCTTAGTACCTCATTTGTCACTTTTCTAATGCAGCTGGCCATGACATCTCACATAGTATTTACATCACCTATATATGACCAAGTAGCCTCATCTAACAACTTCTCTTTAAGGCCAATTGCTTTATTCCCTTCAAATGCCACAAACGAGTTCGTGTGAGGTGATTTATCTTAGTCATTTTATAGCAAAGCTTAATGCTCACATCTAAGATCACTAACCTATATTGGGTGGCTAGTACTTCTCCATGAATTACTTTACTATTCTTACATAAAGAACATTCTCTATACCTTGTGAGAAAATAATCTATCTGGCTCAAGTTCCTCCCATTCTTAAAAGTGATCAAGTGAGAATCTCTTTTCTTGACAAATGTGTTTGTTATGATAAAATCATGTCCCAACGCAAATTTCAAAATAGATTTTCCTTTTTCGTTTCAAGCTCCAAAACCAAAACCACCGCGGATCATTTCGAAGTTTTCCCTATCTTTACCAACATGCCCATTGAAATCTCCTCAAATGAAAATGTAATCCTCATTGCCTATACGACACACTAAGTCATCCATGTCTTTCCAGAACTTGACTTTAGTTTCCGCATCCAATCCTATTTGTGGAGTGTAAGCACTAATTAAATAGATGACTTATTTTCTAGTACCAATTTGAGTATAATAATTATACCTCATATTCGCGTAATCTCAACTACGTCATCCTTCACAGTTTTGTCCACTAGAACACCAACTCCATTGTGATTCCTTTCCCAACCGGTATACCATAACTTGTGTCCTAAATTTTCAATCTCATTTGCTTTCTCTCCTGTTCACTTCGTTTCCTGTAAGTATATATTTATAATTCTTCTTATTATCATAACATCTACTAACTTCATAGATCTACCAGTTAAAGAACTTACATTCTAACTACTTAAATGAATTTTCTTATCATGGGCTATCTCTGCTTCTTGCACACGTCCATGAATGTGCAAGGACCCCCTTGCTTATTTTTCACCATATCCGGGGTCCGACATGGCCATGGGCTCGCTTTTTTCCCCGCACACGTCTATGAATGTGCGAAGACCTCTCTTGCCTATTTAACACTATACTTGGAGCCCGGCATAACGCGTCACACGTAGAGAACGCCTCAACAGATTCTATGTAAGTAAAATTCATGAGAGTATCTTATTTTTACGCTGGCTGTCAACTTACCGTAATTTTACTCTTTTACCCGAACTTAGGACTGGCTATACAAACACATAAACGGAGTTTTTCAGACTTTTTAATAATGTTTAAAATTCATTTGCATCTTCTCTCTGCGGCATAACTGTTTCCTTGTTTTTTCAGTCAACAAGAGGCAGTCCCACGGGATTGAAACACATCTGCAGGATTTTAATAATTTCAGTCAATAAGCCAGAAACTAGAAAGGTCAATTGGTCAAACTCTGAAAGAATGGTTTTTTTTTTTAAGAACCTTAAGCTTATGTTCGGTAGAGTTGAATAGTGAGGAAAGAAGTTTGAGGGATTTTGGGGAAGAAAAGAAATATTTTGTTTAGCAGAGAGACTTGGCAAATGAAAATGAAAATCTGTAGGACCCATTTTTATCTGAACAGAGAAAACAACAGTGCTATACGTTCTAACGGGGTTGAATAAATCAACACTAGTGGTGTCTAAGACCGCTTGGTCTAGTGGCGCTAGGTGTTCGGGTGAGATTGGCTTTGAGGAGGTTGCGGTTTGATTTCAAGTTTTATCAACCAAAAAAAAGAGAGCACCATAATAATACCAATGACTAGCCCTCAAATAAATAAATGAATGAAAGCTTAGGATTTTTTCCAATGTACTATCACCACATGTTCAGGTTTTATTGACCCATAATTGGCTCGTTTTGTTTACAAATTTGAACAGAAAATTTAAACTTTAAGAGAAATATTGTAGTAAAAAGACTTAAACTATGATTCGTAAGAACAAGTGTGCTAAGTGTAATAATTTATTACTAATGCAACAAATAAGAAATAATCTAAAGATAAATCTGTACGATCAAATCTCTTAAGAGCACGAGGTTGCAAGATTTTCCCAACTGGATGAAAAATTGATGAGTTATGATCATTAACAGTTACTAATTTCTTTCTTTTGAAACAATAATACAGATACATTTACTCCTTTCTTTACTCCTTTTTATTTTCATCACATGGTCCTCTCCATTTTCCATTCCTCACTCAAGCCGTCACCAACTCCACAATTTTGTATTGATTGAACGAGGTTAGCCACTGCAACAATTTGTAAAACCATAAATTTTGAAGAATAATACTTAAGGCACCAGCTTGCAAATTGACAATATCAATTTTGAATTTAAAATTCGTATCCCAAACACTACTCACTTTTGAATTAAAGTCTCCAAGTAGCCCGCCCATAACTATTACATCCACAAAACTTCTCTCAAGAATTGTTCGCCTCAGCATTTTCCTTCAAACAATTTTGCTTGTTTCATGTCATTGATACATGGGACGTGCAAGATGAGATCAAGATGCTTTAATGTGTTACTTCTTTAAACATACGAGTTTTTACATGAGCAAAACAGGAAAGATTTCTCAACACAAAACTGCGTTCCAGACGAGGATCCGTCATATGATACAATCACATCTTTAACGGAGTAGGGAAGGATGAACTGACAAACATGATGAGACTTGGTCATGAAATACAGCCGTTAGAACTATCAAGTCGTCCATCTTTCGCAAAAAACATTGTTAGTAATCCTTCTAGACAAGCAAAACTGCGTTCACACAACCATCATTCTCTGGATTATTTGTGATCTGAGCGTATTTCCCTAGAAACCCACCACATACAAGTTAGAGAAAGAAAACAGAACAAAAAAAAAAAAGGATCCAAAAATCAAAGTATCCACAAAGATAGATAAAAGATGAAGCCATGATAAAAGAATTCCCACAAATACTGCAAATTCAATCTTACCCCATACGACTTTCCCTCCAGGAGTAACTAGACCAAGCTCACTGACATTAACCTGAAATTTACACGAAGATAAACCAACATAATATTAGAGACCAGTACCATACTGGCATACGAATTTTGGTTTCTTCAAAGGAGCAAACAAATATAATTAGATTAGCATATTAAGGATAAATGAATGATACCTCGATAATGGTTCCTTTTGTTAAGACACCAAGAGAGGTATACATATTCCCATTGGGATTTTTCTTCACCCCAATAATTTCAAGATTGAAAGTGCACTTAAGTTCAGGGTGCGTCACATGAGCTTTGGTAAATCGCAACCCAGAAGGACGAATAAAACGTTCATACTTGGGGGGTTTCCTTGTAAAACCAGGTCCCACAAATGTGGCTTTTGTAACCATCCTCTTCCACTGCTTGGCTAGATAATAGAAAAACAAGTATACAAGTCAGGAATGTTCACTGGTTGTAAAGGTTCGCCATTATTCAAATGCATCAGATGGTTGGTATGAACAATGACGAATAATAATCCGTGATTCAAACATTTAACAAATGTTGTTTTATGGGATATATAAGAAAAGGGTGAGGAGGGGTGGGGAGGAAATGCTTACTCTTGCGCTTGCCAGATCTAAGCACTTTGAACATTTCATCCTCAGCCACAGGCCTTACCTAAAGAAGGGATGAATTTACAATTAAAATTGTCAGATACATTATTAAGTAAAACAATCAGGTCAGATTTTACCACTATAAGAACCAGTGGATCGATATGCTAAATTGCTAACACATGGAAGAGAAATTTGATCTTACCTTAGGTAAAGGAACTTCCCATTTACCAGCTTTCTCTTTTCTCTTCTGCTTGATGGTGTTGCTAAGGACCTATTCAGAGACAAAATGCCAGACCATCATCCACAAACATGAAAATGAAAGTAAGCAAAATCATTATCCTATTCCAATGGCAGGGGAAACATACTTTTGCCCGTGTCGTCTGATCACGATCGAGCAGATAGGCGGGAACAGCGCCATCATGAACATCATCATCCACCTTTCGCCTGGTTGATGACTCCTCATGCATAGCCAATCTGTTCACACACATACACACAACCAGAAATTTCAACCACAACAAAATTCATCAATTCCATATTAAACAACCATTGATTTCGTCAAGGATAATTTACATATTCAATATGCTTTCAATAGATAACCAAAAAGAAAACACTTTAACATTTATATTAGAGGACGCAAAGTTCATTGCATTTTCATAAAAATTTTAAACATGAATATTTCTATTGGAGACTTAAACTTCAGCTTCGTCATGAGTAAAAAACACTATGGACCATTTTGTTCACTACTCGAGTTTTTAATTCGGGGTGATGTGAGTTATGTGAGAATTTTTTACTATAATAAAAAAATTAAATGTAACTGTTTGAGAGTTTTTAAAACACTATGGACCATTTTGTTCACTACTCGAGTTTTTAATTCGGGGTGAGATGTGAGTTATGTGAGAATTTTTTACTATAATAAAAAAGTTAAATGTAACTTTGAGAGTTTTTTTATAATAAAATTTAAATTTTAAACTCGAATTAGTAAAATATGACATATATATATTAAAATTGAAAAAAAAAATACTCACGTTTTCTTCATCGAGGCCTTTTCTGCATAGCGCTTCTTCGCGAACATCTTACCCTTGATACCAAGTGCCTATTCCATTCAAAGTTGATAAATAACGAAAAATCAATAAAATCTCTCAATCGGAAAAAAATCGTTAAAATGAAGAAGAAGAAGAAGAAGAAGAAGATATCAGAGGAAGGAGATAATAATTAATAACCTTTTGAGCAATTTCTGATCGCTTGTGGACTTCACGAGCCTCCTTCTTGCGCTTGCGCTCGAAGTGATCGAGACGGTAGCCATGGCGCTTCCTGTGAAGCTCTATGTAATCTCCCTGCGGCTGAGAATTTCACAAGGCAAACGAACAACAAACAGACCAAAACACAGAAATCAGCCTTGTACTGGATTCGGTATCAAATCGAAAACGTAATAAGCCCTAGAAATGGAAGAGAGAGAGAGAGAGAGAGAGAGAGAGAGAGAGAGAACCATGGCTGCAGAAACTTTGAGTTGAAATCTTCAGTTAGAAAGGAGCAGAGAAAACCCTAACAGGAGAGAGAGAGAGAGAGAGAGAGAGGGGTTTTAAGGAATTGTTTCGGTGTTCTGTTAACTTTTTGTGTTGGTAGGGTGGGGCGGGTCGGTGGGATTTTGATTTATGTGTTGGTAATGGGTCGGTATGAAAATGTGGGCCAAGTCTAGTAAGCCCAAGTATGGCTTGGAGCATTTAATGGACCCAAGTTCCCTCATGGGCCGGACCATTCAATTTAATTTAATGGGCTGAAAGTCCATTTCCTTAAATAGGCCTAGTCCAGAACACACAATTTAGTGATAGACCTAATAATAATTTTTTTTAAAAAAGAAGAGAGAGCTTAAGAAAATAAAAGATTAAAACATAATGACCAAATCTATCTTTTTATTTGTATAAAAAATATTTAAATAAGAAGATTTTGATGGTAGGGTTTTAAAAAATAAATTACCGATAGACTTTTATTATATTTTTTTTTTTTTTTTCATTTGATGTAAAACTTGCACCGGAAAACCCTACCATATGAGGACCCTTTAAATAAACATTACGCAATCGCCCCATGAACAAAAGAGCCAAATACAACTCCAAAAAGAACACAAAATAGGGGGTCGACTTGTATTGTATGGTAGTTCGACTAGACCCAAAAATTGTCACGTCCATGTAGGTGAGCCATGCTTGCTTGCTGATTGGCTGCATGGGGCGAGGGCATCTTCTTCACAATATCGATGCTATCTGGATGACTCTTATCGCTTTAAATAATTGAGTTTGCACGCATGAGATTCTCCTCCATAATAATAACATTTCATCAAAAACTATAACAAAATAAATAAACACCATCACGAGAATATATATATATATATATGTGTGTGTATAAATATATATTTGTTTCACACAGTTTCTTTACATGAAAAAACTGTTTTATTTGCAAAAAAAAAAAAAAAATGTTTGAGCCAGAAATTAGTCTGACCATGAGCGACATCACATTCACATGATGCTTCCATATATTCTCTTTGAGATTACTGGCTTTGTTATTCCCTTCTCTTTCCTTCCTTTACCCTATGTTCCCAACTTTATATCCATTTACAATATGCATGTGGGAATAAAATCCCACATTCATACTTTTCTTGTATGTTTTGTGTTTTTTAGTCGTTTTTATTTTTAGTGGTACATAATGAACTAATTATGAAAAACTTCCTAGCCTCTCAATTCTCACATATATATATGCATAAAGGTCCAATGAGCAGTGTTTGTTTCTAGCCTTTAAATTTAATCAAAATCACATTAAATTAAAAAATAATATAAAACAAACTGTTTCGACTCGAGATCTTACTATTAAAAACAAAAAATTGTCGATCGTTCACTGTTTCAAAATCTATCGTAGAAATTTCTGATGCATAATTGTGTTACTGTCCTTTGAGACTTGCTATTTTTTTTTCCTCCCTAGTTGTTAAATGTAGGCCATGTCTAGAATATTATGGTTATGTGGGTACTTGTGACACTTTCATTATGTGTAGGCCACGTATTAAAAACTGCAAGTCTAATAAGGAAAAAATAGACGACAAATTTTTTTTTTTTTTTTTTAAATTTATCAACAACCACTTATTTGGTGTTTGGGTTATTGGCAATGGTTGCTACTTTTTAATCACTGGAAAGTAGCAATACCCTAATATCCCAATAAAATATATGAAGGATTAGAAAAAGAAATGGCATGAATGATAATAATTGATGGCATGAATTGATAATTGATAGATCGGACAAGAGCATTCTCAACACCGACACAATACTTGTAAGTAATTACGCTATTGTGCTATAAGCATAATGTTACAAATCTATATAAGGCATTATTAACTATATATAATATTATAATACATACATCACTACAAAGATACACCTTGTAGATATAATGGCAAGAGCATGATCTTGTGATGAAAATAACAAAAGTAGGATAAATATTGAAGAAAGGGGGACATAATGAAAGAGAAAGAAGGGACCTCAAACCTTTGGACTGTTTGGAACCGGAGTTTTCTTCTCTCACTACAAACAAAAAGTAGAGCATAATGTATGAGACCCCATCTTTGTCTAATTTGCTTTTGTGACTACTTTTAAAAGCTACCTTTTTGTGAGCCTAAATAAAATAAAATAAATATAAAAAAAACCTTAACTTTGTATATATAATATTATAATACATACATCACTACAAAGATACACCTTGTAGATATAATGGCAAGAGCATGATCTTGTGATGAAAATAACAAAAGTAGGATAAATATTGAAGAAAGGGGGACATAATGAAAGAGAAAGAAGGGACCTCAAACTTTTGGACTGTTTGGAACCGGAGTTTTCTTCTCTCACTACAAACAAAAAGTAGAGCATAATGTATGAGACCCCCATCTTTGTCTAATTTGCTTTTGTGACTACTTTTAAAAGCTACCTTTTTGTGAGCCTAAATAAAATATAAAAAATATAAAAAAAACTTTAACTTTGCACCGCCAGTCCTCACCAAATTGTAGATTCACTCAGTGAG